CAGTACCTCCTGGGCCTCCTCGGTCCTGTCGGGCCGGTAGAATATGCTCCTTTGTCCTGTCTGTCCTACGTTTACAGTACCTCCTGGGCCTCCTCGGTCCTGTCGGGCCGGTAGAATATGCTCCTTTGTCCTGTCTGTCCTACGTTTACAGTACCTCCTGGGCCTCCTCGGTCCTGTCGGGCCGGTAGAATATGCTCCTTTGTCCTGTCTGTCCTACGTTTACAGTACCTCCTGGGCCTCCTCAGTCCTGTCGGGCCGGTAGAATGTGCTCCTTTGTCCTGTCTACCCTTTACAGCTGCTCGGGCAGCTGCACGTTACCTCCACCTTTCTTGCCTGTAGTGTGAAGTGTGCCCAGAAGAGGGCGAGCTCACATTTCAGCATGCGGCCCCTGGGATGAGGATTAGCTGAGCCCACAGCACTGTCACTTTGCAGGGGTGCGGGTTGCCATTGTGTTTTTTTGTGGGAATGGGGGGTGTCTGAGTGAAACTAATACAGCATGATACTCTCCTGCACTGTGAACTGTTCAAAGCCTCAATTGTTGAGCTTCCTCACATGTGTTTGCAGGCTCTCAGAGCTCCCATTAGGGTACAGGGCTCAGTTTGTGGTCTGTATGGTTCGAGTTCTCATGGGAACAGTTTAGGGACAGCTCCCCCCCACCCATGCGGGGAAAAGTGCTGAACACAGGGTGCGCTAAGTCAGCCAACGGCACTCCATGCTTCTGCTGGGTCTGTGAACCGCGTGCTGTATGATCGCTGCTCTGATGGCGGCTGGGGGGAGGGGGCTGTGCCTTTTTTTTTCCTCTCTGAAAAAGAGTGGAGTGGGGGGTGTGACTCTGGGAAGGACTTGGAACAATAGTGCATTGTGGACTGAGGATCCACTTTCTTCCGCTGCAATGGTGAACAGGCTTTTCTCCTGACTTTTCAGAGACAGGATTCCAGCTTTGGGTATATAGCACTGCAGGAACACCCGCAACTCTCCCCATGCGGCACAAGATCGCATTCGCACCTGCAGCTGCTGGGAGCTGCATCTTGCTGCTGCAGAAGCTGCGCTGGCATGCGGGACCTTTAAGAAATTCTGAGGCTCTGACAGGGAGGAGATCAGTCCCTCCCCCCTTTCATTAGTAGGGGAAAGGCCAGAGTCTATGTTCTTGGCCAGTCACAGCCTGTCTAGGTGGAAATCCCACATCATGTGACCAGCTACTCATGGGCCCTGGGGGGACAGGAGGCGGGGCGTGGGAGGTGCTGGCGCGGGAGTCTGTGTGTCCGGGGGATATCTCAGAGCAGAGGGCAGTCCCAGCGAGGCATTCCCACGGAAAGCATGCCTCACAGGTTACGGCGGCACCCTGCAACTACGGGAGCCCGAGTGAGAGCTGAGCGCCGCCTCAGCAAGCGTTCATGAAGAGCCGTGCTGCCACTGGTGCCAGGCAGGGGCTGTGCCCCCCCAGGCAGACCAAGAGCCGGGAGGAGCTGCGATCTGACGAGTGGAGTGGCGGAGCAGAGGAGCGCGGGCGACCACAGATTCGTCCCGGGAGGGAACAGGAGGTACATGGCTTCTGGGAGTATGAGGACAGCGACCAAAGCCCTTACCACTGGTACAGGAGTCACCTGCGAGATGGCTGCGAGCGTTCAGGGCATCCCCGCTGCACCAACATGGACCATGACCGTCAAGAACACAAAACTCGTTTGCGGACCTACAACCGTGTGGACACAGATCAAGTCTTGGAGAAGCAGTATGACTGCACTGGTAGGAGCTGTTACAACCACAGTGAAGGAGGACGTTGTGATTCCATCGACCGTTACAACCGCACTGACATGGAGTATGAAGACAGGGAGCGATATGACCGCTTTAAAAGGGACCGCTATAATGGCACTGGAAAGGAGTGTTCAGATTGCAACGAGAAGAACCGTTATGACCGCCTAGAAATGGAGCGGTTTGACCGTACAGACAGGGACCGTTATGACCGCCGAGATGAGGAACGGTTTGACCGCAGTGACAGGGACCATTATGACCACCGAGATGAAGGAAGGTTTGACCGCACTGACAGGGACCGTTATGACCGCCAAGATGAAGGAAGATTTGACCGCAGTGACAGGGACCGTTATGACCGTCTAGATGAGGGGCGGTTTGACCGCGCTGACAGCGACCGTTATAATCGTCTAGATGAGGGGCGGTTCCACCGCACTGACAGGGACCGTCTTGACCGCCGAGATGAGGGGCGGTTCGATCACACAGACAGGGACCGTTATGACCGGCGAGATGAGGGGCGGTTCGATCGCACTGACAGGGACCGTTATGACCGCCGAGATGAGGGGCGGTTCGACCGCATGGACAGGGACCGTTATGACCGCCAAGATGAGGGGCGGTTTGACCGCACTGACAGGGACCATTATGACCGACTAGATCAGGGGCGGTTCGACCGCACAGACAGGGACCGTTATGATCGCAGAGATGAGGGGCGGTTTGAAGGCACAGACAGGGACCGTTATGATCGCAGAGATGAGGGGCGGTTTGAAGGCACTGACAGGGACCGTTATGATCGCAGAGATGAGGGGCGGTTTGACCGCACTGACAGGGACCGTTGCTACCATTCAGACACTGAGCAGTTTGACCAGACAGTGCGACATGTGCATAGAGACTGGAGTGCCCCTGGATACCGGCCTTTTCTGGGTCCCGGGTCTGATCCCGATGCAGCTGATGGTCCTGATGGCTGCCTGGAAAGGAGGATAAGGAGAGGGCGGTCCTACGAGGACCCTTTACCTCTCAATCGTGACGACCCCAGTGTGGGCCCAGGGCTTGGCCGGCTTGACCCCAGTCTGGATAACCCGTACTGGACCCAAAAGCCACTGTTCACCAGCTCCCTGGACCGGAACAGTGTGTGCAGGAAGTCGGCACCGGTGTCCCTCAGGAGACACAACTTTGTGGTCAGCAGACCACAGCCAAAGCCAGGTGAATTCTGTAGCTCCACGTTGGGGGGGGGGGGGACTGTCGTTTGAGGATCCATGTGGTTTCTGTGCTTCTGCAAGAAGGTGACCTCCTACGCCATGACGAGGCTGACCGGTCAGGCTGGTTCGGTGGGTTTGGTATCATTCTGCCCAGGCGTGTGTCTCTCCTGTGTTTACGCTTCGCTGCGAACAGCTTGTGGTTTATCTGAGTCCACCAGGCACCAGGCAAGCTGGCAGCCATCATTGGAACCAGTCAGGACCCACAATCTCCTGCTCAGGCCACCACAGCCAAGCAGAACATGAACAGAGCTCCACTTGTGTTGGGGCCAGTGTGGGTTACGGTGCTGGTGTATTTGTGCTGGTGAGGGTTGTGGTGGTGGTGGGGGGGTTTACATTTTGGAGTTTCGCATATTTCCCTCCCCCAGTCTGTGCTGAAGTATGTGTGGGACAGAGAGTGTCTGCATTCCTGTCCAGC